TTTTAAGAGCAATTTTCAAATCAAATTCAAGGTTTTTTAAGTAGCAGGCCTTCGGCCGGGGCTTAAGACTTTCACCTATGGACAGACGCATACATGGCTACGCAATCCAAATCCTTTTTTAAGAGCAATTTTCAAATCAAATTCAAGGTTTTTTAAGTAGCCTGCCTTTGGCCGGGTCTTAAGACTTTCACCTATGGACAGACGCATACATGGCTACGCAATCCAAATTCTTTTTTAAGAGCAATTTCCAAATCAAATTTAGGTTTTTTTTAAGTAGCCGGCCTTCGGCCGGGGCTTAAAACTTTCACCTATGGACAGGCGCACTCATGGCTACGCAATCCAAATCCTTTTTTAAGAGCAATTTTCAAATCAAATTCAAGGTTTTTTAAGTAGCCGGCCTTCGGCCGGGGCTTAAGACTTTCACCTATGGGCAGACGCATACATGGCTACGCAATCCAAATCCTTTTTTAAGAGCAATTTCCAAATCAAATTTAGGTTTTTTTTACGTAGCCGGCCTTCGGCCGGGTCTTAAGACTTTCACCTATGGACAGGCGCATACATGGCTACGCAATCAAAATCCTTTTTTAAGAGCAATTTTCAAATCAAATTTAAGGTTTTTTATGTAGCCGGCCTTCGGCCGGGGCTTAAGACTTTCACCTATGGACAGGCGCATACATGACTACGCAATCCAAATCCTTTTTTAAGAGCAATTTTCAAATCAAATTCAAGGTTTTTTAAGTAGCCGGCCTTCGGCCGGGGCTTAAGACTTTCACCTATGGACAGACGCATACATGGCTACGCAATCCAAAGCCTTTTTTAAGAGCAATTTTCAAATCAAATTCAAGGTTTTTTAAGTCCAAAAGACTTTCACCTATGGACAGGCGCATACATGGCTACGCAATCCAAATGTTTTTTCTTTCAATTTTAGTTAATATTATATAATTTACAATGATATACTATATTTATTTTTAATGCACTATTCAAACCCTTTAAAATGATACCCATATTGCTTTGGTGGCATTAGTAAAACGGCCGTTTTAACCAAGGTATATTCCAAACTTTCAAGGCCCATACCTCGGGAAGTATGCATTTCCCCCACATAAAATATATATCACTGTAATCAGCACAACGAGGACTACTTACGGTAAAAATTTCAAAGCGATCCGGGTGGAGCCCCTAAACTAGACTTAAGCCGAAAATTCTATGTGAGTGATCATGCCCGCCATTCACAAAAAACGCTGTTCGGAGAAAAACGCGTTTAAAGTTTGAGATTTTTTTAGAAACCGAGAAAGGGGGGATTGGGGGTTGTCCTCTTAAATACATTTAATGTTTAATGTAATATGTTAGTATAAATATCTTATACTACTTTTCGAACAATTCCGGTCAAAGGTATGTATTTCACCAGATGATCATGGATAATCAGACAATATGCTAAAGTGTTTGAGGAATTGTTGTACTGGTTTCAAATTTGATCTTCAAATCAGTTGGTCCATTCGTCATGGCTTCATTTGATTACTTATATCAATGACAGCAATTGGATTGTCTTTAAAGCCTTTGTACGATAGGCAAAAGTATGTATTGCACCAGATGATCATGGATAATCAGACAATACGCTAAAGTGTTTGAGGAATTGTTGTACTGGTTTCAAATTTGACCTTCAAATCAATTGATCCATTCACCACGGCTTCATTTGATTACTTATATCAATGACAGCAATTGGATTGTCTTTAAAGGCTTTGCAGGAAAGAAGTGGATGTGGTTCTCTCACATAGTATGTTTCTTGAATCTTGGCATACATATCGTAAAGCACTGCATAGCGATTTTCTCCAAACTTTAGATTTAAATCATCATAGGGATTCGTTTCTGAATTAAAATGTTCTTTGATGTTTTGAAGATCACAATGCATCAATTTGTGATATTTTTCAAATACAAATGCCTCATATCGTGATCTTTCATGATTTGCCGACAATTTGACATTCCAGCTGTGTTGTCTTTCACCAACAAATGTTGGGTTGAAGTAGCAGTCCCAGCTATGAAATGCTATTGATAATGTTTTTTCATACTTTATTGTTTTCAAGAAACTAATTTTTCTATAGTCAGACAGATTTAAGTTTTGCACTTTCCACACAATGTTTGTAATAGCAACACATATATATTCTTTTAAGTCTGTAGAATAGCATACATTTGTATCATTGGCACTCCGCAAAAGAACCAAATCATGTTTGCTATTACAAATTACTTTAAAGTCCAAGCAACTGTTCAGTGGGATGCAAAAGTTAAAGGAATTGGTTGAGACATCATCAGCGCCCCATCCAGCGTTACTCATAACTTTACTTTCAGACTCACTTAGTGAAATCCAATTTTTAACTTTCGTAGTTACACCTAGATAACGTGCGCGATTGATTTAAGTTCCATTCAATTTATATAATTTCACCAAACTTATATCCCACACAATTATTCCTTAGCCTAGCATTTGAAGAATTTTCACCATATGATTTTCTTAAATAGTCTTCAATATATAAATAGCTTTCGGATAGCAGAACATATAGGTCTTGATTTTGTTTACTTGTTTACGAATTTCGTCATTATTTTAAACGATTTAAGACGCTCATTAATATTGAGAATTTCAGACTTTTGGCTTAAGTTTTCAAAATTCTTTACTTTTTTAGTTATGGGAGGACTTCTTGATTGAACTACTTGTTGTGGAATATTTTTTGATATTTGTTTATATTTATATATATTTATCTTATATGAATTCGAAGTGTTATTTCCTCTCCTCGAAAATTTACTAAGCGATCTTCTTGATCTACTATACGTACTTCAAGAAGACTTATTTCTTTGAAGTTTACAGGAAATAAATGATATTAAAGGGTCTCTTAGGTAATTTATAGCCCGGAGGAAGATCTAAAGCATATTCATGTATGATATGAGCAGGTGAATTATTCATAAATGACCCAGTTACAATGTTGCAATGTATTTGTATAACATTAACCTTTAAAATATTTACTGGAAGTTTGGAGACATGTTTCTGTCTGGGCTCCAAAATTTTTTTAGTGAAACCAAAGAGTTTTGCAATAGATTTATCCTTGTATTGGATTTCCTACATAGTCCTTTAGTAAATATGTTGTAGGATTCGTAATACGTACTGAACGCATTTTAAAAATTTCTGTGGTCCAGTTTGGTGTGCAACCCTTTTCGAATTGGTGTTTATGTTTGCTAATACGTACATAATCTGCCACACGCAGACTGGGTATTTTTATTATTACCATTATAGCTAAACTCTTTCCACATCATTCCTCTTAGTGTTCTATTGAAACGTTCAAAAATTGACTCTGTATATGGAGAAATGATTTATTGAATATTTTTGCATAAGTTTGGAGAATTCCTTGTTGAAAAAATATTTTCCATCATCGGTTTGTAAATTCTTGGGTATTCTTCTAGCTTTGAAAATTATATCAACCCTTTATAAACATCAGTAGCATTTTTGGATTTTAGAGCTTGAACCCATTACTAAATCAGCTTGCCATAAATCATCAATACCATTTGTACATGAAGGTACCCAAAACAAAAAAAAAAATACGGTATGCTAAAATTTTGACCCAAAGTGTATGTGCTATATATTAAAAAAATTAACAAAAAATTGGAAAAAAAAATATTAAGAAAATTAAAACAAAAAGTGGTGAAAATAAATTTGAAAAATTTTGGTGAAACAAAAACAAATTTGGAAAAACATGGGAATATTCTGGAAAAACAAAAAAAAATTAATTTGGAAACTAAAAATAAATTTGTGGAAAATAAAAAATCAATTAAATTGAAAAAATTAACAAAATTTGAGAAAAAATTATATAAGGAAAAAAATTTTGTTAGGAAAAAATTTGAATTAAAGAATACAACATAACAAAAACAGTGAAACAAAGTGAACTGAAATTAATAAACAATACATAAATAAATTAACAAAATCAAATTAGTGAACATTGAATATTACACAACAAAACAATTTCTACAAAACTACAAAAACAACAAAAATAAACGCGATCACGGTTCGGTACAACAACAACAAACTACACATAACCTGCAGCTGAAAAAAGGAAAGCGGACGGACGTAAGAAACCTCAAATCAAAGAGACCCAAACCCCATACAAAAGCATCAAAGCGAGTACCCACCTGAAATTTTTTATCAAGAACCTGGAAAAACGCTGAGGGAAGATATTTTATGGGCCCTTGCATTTCGTTGGTTCGAAATTAAAAATAATTTGACACTTTTACAAAGACAAATATTTTGAAGAATACACCGGAAAGACACAAAAGGGAAAAAATTTATTCTTGGACCCTCGTGCATCCTATGGTGAAAAATTCAAAATATTTTAGACTCTTACATCCACATGCGAGACCCTTTACCTACATATAACCTAGAAAAATTGCATTTATAAAAGACTCAATCCGCCATTTTTGTATGGAAATTTTGGAAAAAATTTGAAAAAATACTGGGACAAATCATCAGTAATCTTGTGGAAAAATTCAAAAACTTTTTGGAAAAAATACATTTTAATTTTTTGGAATTTTTGGAAAATTTTTATGGAAAATTTGGAAAAATTATTGGAACTCCTTGAACGTTTTTGGAAAAAATCTTAGAACATTTTGGACAACACATCTTGGAAAATTGTTGGAAACATTTTTTGGAAAATATTTGGAATTTTTGGAAAAAAATTGGAATTTTTTTTTTTTGGAAAAAATTGGAAATTTTTTTTTTGGAAACAAATTGGAAGCTTTGCGAAAAAATATACACATTTTTGGAAATTACTTGGCTTTGAAAAATCTAACCTCATTTTATTAGCGAAATTTCTAAATTTTCCAATCCGAAATTGGAAATTGACAATTTAATTTTTGTAGAAAAAACTAATTATTACAATAACCAACAAATAACTATTTTTGTGAGTTATTTTCTAAACTTTTTGGTCATTTCAAAAATTTGTTAAGAAATACAAGACACACAATTAACCATGGATAAGATCAAATGTGAAAAATTCAAGAATTGCGTCACAGATCTTTTGGATTTTACGGAAATATCGTCAGCAAAGAAGTCAGATAACTACATTTTCACTTTGGAAATAATTCGAGTGGAGTTAGACTCATTATGGGACCAAGTCAAGAAGGCATATTCCGAGTGTCGTGATCATGTACCACAGGAAGGAGAAATCACAATCGACAAGACAAAACTCAGGACTCGTTACAGGGAAGCCATGGAAGGTTATAAAACTTCTTTATGTTCACTAAACGAGGAAATTCAGACGATCAAGGATAAACAAATGGAAGATAAAACAAAAAAGGAGTCAGGAATATCACCTGAATTTACGTCAGTGTCCAGATTACCGCCTTGCGACACATATACATTCAAAGGAGGATATACTGAATGGCCCACGTTCCGAGACCTCTTTTCAGCGATATATATCCAAAATACTAAACTGAGCAATGTTGAGAAACTCTTCCATTTGACACAAAAGACGACAGGAGAAGCGAGAGATATTATTAGACACGATCCACTTACTAATGATGGTTTTGAGTTAGCGTGGAGAAATCTTACAGAGCGATACGAAAACAAAAGGATGCAGGTCAACGAACAAATAAAAATTCTGTTTAATTTACCCAATGTCACCCAGTGCCAAAGCTACAGCGTACAGTAAATAGTTGTCTTCAAATCCTAGAAACATAAAAGGTTGGGACCCAATACTTATTTATCTTTGCTCCACTAAATTACCTCGTCATTTCTTGGAAGAATTTGAAAACACATTAAAAGATATCAAAACTTTGCCCACTTGGGAACAGGTAAATAATTATTTGACCAACAAATTTAAAACCCTAGAATCGGTTGGAAATATCAAAACAACAAACCCAATATATAACAAAATTTAGAACACAGTAAAAAATTAAAATTCACCAATAGCTTTCAAACTAATACATGGCAAAATACTCAAACACAGGGGGGTAAAACGAATAAACAAACTTCGAATCCACATTCCAAGACTCAAACAGTACAAAATTGTCCACTTAGCAAATCCAATCACTTTATTAGAGATTGCCCTCGATTTATAGAGAAATCAGTAAACGACAGAATTCACACAGTAAACATTTCACATCTTTGTTATAATTGTCTTTCGTCACACCATGGCGTTAGAGAATGCAAAAGTCGTTTTGGATGTCGAAACTGCAATATGAGACACCACTCGATGCTGCATAAGGGAACGGAAACCCAACAACAAAACTTTGCTCGAGATGAAGTACGCCCTAGTACTAGTGCTTCAGCTCTCACAAATATTATACAGTCCACAGAACCTGCGAATATTACAACCTTGACCCTAGTTCAACCTTGCTTTTCACTGCTGTCGTTCAAATCGAATACAGAGGACAATCATACGATGCCCGAGCAATTATCGACCCTGGCTCACAATCTACGTTTGTCTCAGAAAAACTTAAAAACAAATTGAATTTGCCTACCAAGAAAAACCTAGTTCATGTTACAGGATTGAGCCAAATTGTATCCGAAACATCAACAAAATCTTGTCTCTTCACTTTGCGATCTCGTTTAGACCCTAGCTTTGAATTAGATGTATGGGCGCCAGTATTAAAGACCCTCCCATCCAATAATAAATTCACAAATGTAATTGGACTCCATTTAGCAGATCCCAATTTCCACATAGGTCAACCTGTTGATCTTCTCATAGGAATGGATATAGGTCCTCTCATATTCAAAATTGGGACCCCTATAAAATCTCTTGGTCCATTTTTAGCACAAAATACAGTATTTGGTTGGATAATTGGTGGTCCAATACCCGAAAGTACTCGAAAGCTTAATAATATTTCCTTGTTTAACACAACTGCTACAGAAAAGATAATTACACGTTTTTGGGAGGTGGAAGAGCCCCCAAAAAGAGTTTTGCGGTCAGAAGATGACTTATTCTGTGAGCAAAACTATACCACAACAACCATACGAAATAAAGAAGGCAGATATATAGTTATCTGCGAAGAATTGGGAAATTCTCGAAACATTGCCCTCGCACAGTTTTATAGAATGGAGAAAAAACTGTTAAAGACTCCTGATATAAAAGACTCATATGACAAAGCGGTATTAGAATATTTAGATTTGGGTCATATGAGAAAACTAACACAAGAAGAAATAAATCAGACCCCAAACTACTATTTACCACACCATGCAGTCATTAAACCAGATCGTTTGACTACAAAACTCCGTGTAGTATTTAACGCATCTAGTCCTACTTCAAATAAAATAAGTCTCAACGATAATTTGTTTGCGGGTCCATTCTCCAGCAAGATCTTGTTTTGCAAATATTAAAATGGAGATTCTTTAAATATGTTTACAACGCTGATGTAATTCAAATGTACCGACAGGTTATCTTAGATAGAAAACAAACTAGATTCCAAAGAATATTATTCAGAAAGTCTCTAAACGACCCTGTGGAAGATTATGAACTTTTAACCGTTACATTCGGAGTAAATTGTGCACCCTTCTTAGCCCTTCGAACTCTTTTACAACTCGCTGAAGATATAAAAGAAACATTTCCTAAAGCTGCTAAAATTATATTACAAAATCTATATGTTGAATAGACTCACGAAAGGAACTAACTGCTGCCTTTGGATCTGCAGGGTTTCAATTAAGAAAATGGACTTCAAATGAGCCCAAAATAATTCAAGATTTGCCTACAGATCAACTTTTACCATTAAATTGGCTAGATATATCCGAAAATGCTTCTACTAAGACCCTAGGTATCAGATGGCATATATCAGGAGATTGTTTCTCTTTCACATCACCTTCGATAGAAAATAAACTCAATTTCACTAAAAGAGAAGTCTTGCTAAATTATTCGACCCGTGTGGGTGGTTAGCACCAATAATCGTTGTAGCTAAATTAATTATGCAACAGATATGGTTAGACAAAATAAATTGGGATGACACTCTTACTCCTATAACATCGATAAATTGGCAAAATTTCGTTAAAAATTCTACTTCAATTAATGCTATAAATATTCCAAGATGGGTAAAATACATCCCAACGAGTCAAATTGAAATTCATGGATTCTGTGATGCATCTGAAAGAGCATAGGGCGCGGCTTTGTATATTAGGGTTCTAAACAACAATAATGACGTTGACACATTTCTTTTAGCTGCAAAAACCAGAGTTGCACCAATAAAAAAGATTTCGTTGCCACGACTCGAACTTTGCGGAGCAGCACTTTTATCAAAATTAGCTTCATCCATTAAAAACAATATTCAAATCCCAAATATCGAAATGCATTATTGGACTGACTCTACAATTGTTTTAGCCTGGCTCAAAAAACCTCCGTGCCATTGGAGCACATTTGTAGGAAACAGAATTTCCGAAATTACTGAAAATGTTGGAATTGAAAGATGGCGTCATGTTGACTCTGAAGCCAATCCCGCTAATGTCGCCAGTAGAGGATGTTCTCGAAACGATTTACAAACCAATAATTTATGGTGGCACGGACCGCAGTGGTTGAAATACAAATCTAGAAATGAAATCAGTTAAAGTTCTTACCCTTATCACTATAACTGTAGATGCTAAGATAGAACTTATAAAAAATGACCCACTCAAAAACTTCTCTATTTTGTCAAGAGCTTTTAGAGCATATGCTTATGCCATGCGGTTTTGGAGAAACACAGGTGTAAATAGAAGACACTTAAGGGTTTCATCTGATCTTACTTTTGAAGAAATGCAGCATGCTAAAAGGCTAGTTATAATTGTTACTCAAAAATATTTTTCGAAAATGAGTATAAATTACTACAGAAAAAATCAAAACTTCCTCCGAACAGTTGTCTTCTACCTCTGAACCCGTTTATTGACTCGAATGGCCTTATTAGAGCAAATGGTCGCCTTGTACAATCACCCGCTTTAACATACAATGAGAGGCATCCAATTTTACTGCCTTTTTTTTCCAAATTATCACAATTATTAGTTGAATTTACACATAAAATAACTCTACATGGTGGAAATCAACTCGTGACTCGAGTACTTCGCTCAGAATTCTGGATATTCAAAATAAAAATCTTAGTCAAAAAGACAATTCATCGTTGTAACACATGCACCTTATACAGAAAAACCAACCAAACTCAAATTATGGCTTCTCTTCCACCAGAAAGAACATATCTTTCACGACCCTTTCATAACACAGGGGTTGACTTTGCAGGACCCTTTAATATAAAAAGTTTCACTGGTCGAGCTTGTTTAATCACGAAAGGTTATGTGTGTGTTTTCATATGCTTCGCTACCAAAGCAATACATTTAGAACCAACAAGCGATCTTTCAACACAATCATTATTGAGTGCCTTTGCTAGATTCATTGGACGACGAGGTTGTCCCGCTTGCATATATTCAGATAATGGTACAAATTTTGTAGGTGCCTCTGAATCTCTTAAAAAAGATAAAGCTGAATTTATGAAAAATCTTACAACACAAATCATCAACCAAAATGCCCATCAAAATCTAGAATGGAAATTTATTCCTCCTGGTGCTCCTCACATGGGTGGATTAGATTCAGTTACGAAAAAGCATTCCAAAACTTAATTTTACCTTTGAAGAATTTAGTACAATATTAGCTCGCATAGAGGCTTGCCTCAATTCAAGACCCTTGAGTCCTGCTAGTGACGTCCCAAGTGAAATAGGGGATTTAGTGGTTATCAAAAATGATCGCTTAGCGCCAACTGAATGGAGATTAGGAAGAATTATAAAAACATACAAAGGGGTGGATCAAAACATAAGAGTCGTAGATATAAAAACTTCCATTGGAGTAACTAGTCGACCCATAACAAAAGTTGTCAAATTATTTTCCGACTGACTAGTCGGACCCCCATTTATTATAAAATTTGGTACTCCCTTCTCCTCAATTACAGATATGGCTGCCTATCTACCAAACCGGGACTGGGAAGAAGAGGAACGATCCCCCAATAACAGGCGCGACGAGCAGCAGCAGCCACCCAGAAGACGGCAACAATCCAGAAGCAGGTCTGGTCAGCGAGAGAGTAGGAGAGAGCGGCCCAGTTTCTGGCAATATTCCTGTGGGCTATGTCAAGACGATCATGCCATAAATACATGCCCCAGGTTTCGTGAGCAAACTCCATACCAACGCTACGAAAAACTCGTAACAACATCCCCATAGACATAGAATTGGGCGCCGACACATACTGTGCAATACGTCAAGATGGCTGTACTTCTGCAGGAATTGGCGATGTCCAGGCGTTCCAGACAAAACTAGGATATGTATTTTCTGGTCCTATTAGAAATATGCCATCTAATTAAAACTATTTATTTTTATCATTCACAGATATCACGGCGGGGGAGGCATGTACATGAATGTACCCAAAAAAAAAAAAAAAAATACGGTATGCTAAAATTTTGACCCAAAGTGTATGTGCTCTTTAAATAGCACATCACTTTATAACGTAAAAAATTTAATTTATATTTGTTTCGAATTTAGCACAACTAAGACATTTAATAATATCTAGTCGTTTTGATAATGAAACTAAAAGATTTTCAATATGATTGGTCCATGTATGTTTTGTATTAAAGAATACACAAAGTATTTTCAGCGATTGTTCAGTGGGAATTGCACATTGGTCTATATTTAAAATAAAATTGCAATTCTTTTTTCGG